CAGGTGGTCTTCGCTTCTTGTCAAGTGGGTCTCGCGCGGTGATGGCTTCTTCCGTGCTATGCTTGAAGTGCATCCCAAAGACCACCATGGATTTAAGGGCCGAGCTGGACTGCGTGAGCTCCAAAAGCTACCCGGGGCCCAAAGTGCCCGTTTTATTTTGTCCATGGGTCCTGTGGCCCATTGGTGGGATGCCCTGAGCTTTTTGCTTTCGGGCGTGGTCGGCGTCCCTGGGCGGTTCGCTGCGTGGACCTAGCAGACTCTCTGAGAGACTAGGGGGCGCGGCCTCGACAGCCCCAGTCTTGTCGCTCTTGCCGCTCACAGCTAAGACTCGCTCCGACTCGCTCCGGATGGGTCCGAGGCCAGCGTGTCCCCAGAGAAGCTTCGGGCCAGACTGTCAGAGATTTCGAAGCTAGAGCTAGACAGTACTCGGCGAGGGCCCAGCGTGCGGTTTTGAATAACTTTCTCACATGCTATCACCAGCGCGCCGCGCAGCAGGGCCATGCTGGGGGCCGAGGCCTTTATAGCCGCATCAGAGACAAGTCGGCGCACGTCGAGGAGGTTCGGGCTGGTGGGGGGACGGCTGGAGACCCCTGCGAGAGAATGGCTGTCATGTCAAGGATCTGGGCAGGCGAACGGGTCGGATGCAGCTCTAGTTTTCCCGAGGTCCGGGCCCTATGGCACGCGGCCCAGTCGAATGCCAAGCGGGGCCCTCGGCCCCCGCTTGGAGCCGACTGGCTCCGCAGGGTCATCTCGGCCCTGCCTGAAAAAGCCCCAGGCGTGGATGGGTTGTCGAAGAGGGATTTCCAGTGGCCGCCGCTGTTGGGCATACGGCGAGCAGAAGGATTGTTGGCCCTGGCAGGCCGTGGAGGTGCTTGTCGCGCTCCAAGTCGAAGACGAGGGCCCCGACCGTGCGATTGGCTTGCTTGCCTGGGTTGTCCGCTTCTGGGGGCGACTTCGAACCTCGGGCCGAGCGGGCTGGACCGGGGGGCGAGCGGGGCCGTGGGGCGCGGCCCTCGCGGGCTTTTCTGGATTACAGGTTGCCCTTTCAAGGTTGTTCAGAGATGGGCAAGCAGCGCGCTCTTCTCTGCCGGACCTTCAGAGTGCGAGCTTGCTCTGGGATGTGCAAGGTTTTAACGGCAGTTTCCGTTGGGGCGTGGTTCTGGACCGCGCTTTGGAATTCGAATTTTCCCCGTGCTATTTGGCCCTGGAGCTTCAGGTCCACATGGCCACCAGGTTTTTGGGGGAGGCTGGAGGTTTTTCCTTGGCAGCGCAGCCAGGTATGCCCCTCGTCCCAGGCAGGAGTGGTGCTGTTGATGTAGGCAGGGCGGCCCTTCACTTCGTCTGCGTTAGGATAGCAACGGGCAAGCCCTTGCCAACGCTGCGCGCTTGGCCTGGCGACGTCGCGCAGTACGTGCACGAGGTTAGTGGCGGGCGTTTTTGCCGAGTTCTCGAAGTTGGGCCTTGCTTTGGTCCGAGGCCTGCGCGCGATTAAGTTGCAGATTGCTCCGGAATCGGCCATCATTTCCTCTTCCTGGGCGTTGGTCGCGAGACTAAGGATTTCTTCAGTGGGCAAGGCTTCCGCGCGCAGGCTAAGCGAGTAGCAGCGGAACAAGAAATTGACAGAGGCCATGTGAAGGCATCGCGGCCCAGGCTGGTCAGCAGGAGGGCTGGAGCCAATCGGTTGCAAAGGCTGGGTAAGTTGGCCAAAGGCAACAGGTCGTGCGAGAAATTGGCGCGACACATGGCATTGACCAACATAATGTATATATATATGTAAACATATGCACACACAAATATGTATATATATAGTATTAGATATTCGGATGAGGTCCACGGCGCCCTGCCCAGTGTTGCCCTTGGTTGGCGGGGGGCGTCGGGGGGGCTTATTTTTTGGGGGGGTCTCCAGGGGGGGGGTTCGTGCCTGACCGCACTTTGAGCCGTAGAGTGCGGTCGGCGAGACCTGGCCTTCTTTGCGATGTTTGACGCGATCGAGGCTTGGTTTCAGATTTTGACCCATGCTAGCTTCGGCGCCGATGAGACGAGGCGAGCGTGGCGTAGAGTCGCAGCGGAGCTAGAACCCAAGCCAGCAGGAATTCTGGCGAAGCGTGGGCACCCCTGTTGCTGCCGCGATCGCCACTCTGTAGGATGCGGGTTGGAAGCCGTGGGGACTCTGGGCCCGGAGAGTGATTTGGGTGAACGGTTCGCGATTCCAGAAACCAAGCTCGGGCGAGGCAAGATCGACCTCGCGGATCTTGTCGAGGCTCTGGGTCAGAATAAGGGACGCCAGCTGTGGGCAGCTGCTGTGGGCAACTTGCGCAACGGGCCGGGCCTTGAGCTAGTTCCAGATTTGTGCGATTTCAAATTCCAGATGAGATCGCTGGCCAGGAAGGGTAAGCACGCATGGGGAGGGATCTTGCGGGCTGTGGCTGCTGGCAACAGCTGGCCACGCGCGAGGCTCCAAGGATGTGGTGCCACCCAGGACAGTTCCTGTCAAGAGATGCGGGGAGCTGGTGGAGCGTGGCGCGCGCCGTGCTTCGAACTGCCCGAAGAGCAGCGATTTCTCCATGGTCTCGGATGTCGTTCGAAGGCGAACCCTAGCTGATTGGGAGAGTCCTCCCAGCTTCTGGCTGCGAGGGCTGACGCCAAGCAGCTGGGCACCTGCGCCCCCCCCCCCCGCCCCGAGGGCGAGGGGTTCCAGACCTGCGGGGTGGGGTGGGTGGGGGGGGGCTTAGGGGTGCCAGGGCGGGCGGTTTCCTGTTTGGACGGGGGCGACGTTAGTGGGGGGCCAGGCGCGCAGGGCCCTGCCCCCCATAGGGTTGCCTGGTCCTGGTTTGTGTTTAAGGGCATCTGAGCTGGAGGACTTCATGGCCCCAGCTTCAGGCCCACGCAGTGAGCTTTGGGAATGCGCTTGGATGGCGCCAGTCTGTCAACGGGGGGGAAGCGTTGTGCTTCCTGCAGTTCTTGAAAGCTGTCCTCCCTGTTGCAGACGGTTTCTTTGTGGCGGATTCCACGTATCGCGTGAAGACTTATCATGGAGTTCGGCTCGGACTCTATCCGAAATCTCACCCTGACGTGTGGCAGAGTGTCAATGACGTGCTGGCCCGGCTCCAGTCGAGGGGAGTCGTGCTAGTCAAAGATGAGAGCCACATGCAAGTTGAAGACACAAGCGACCTGGGAACCGACCCATTTTTCCGTTTGAATGAATTAGCCGACCGAGTAGCGGACCAACGGGCAGATAATATTCGAGTCTCTGTTGCTTTGAGGGACAGCACGTCCCATGCCCGAGCGATTGCTGTCCAAGTTTGCCATAATCTCGGTCACAATCTTTGGGCATCGTTTGAAGCTGAAGAGAATCGTGCGCCCAGAGAGTTGGTTATGAAGCCCAGGAGGCGCGAGATCAATATGCAACTGCTGCTGACTGCTCACCAGCCTGTTTGGGGGATAGGTTCCCAGGTCCGCGGTCATAGCTGCGGAGGATGTGCGCCATGCATTTGTTGTTGTTTATTTTTTCAACAGACAATAAATACATATGTGTATATATATATATATATATATCTCAAAATATGTATGCGACCCCTTGCCACAAGGGCTTATGTAAGGGGATGTGTTTGGCGCCCACGCAGAGCACAGTGAATCGCACTGACTTGCATAGCTCCCGCACCTTGGCCCATCGCAGGGAGTATGGGAGCACGGTTTGTCTGTCTTGTGGCTGTGTGGCCATCCAAGCTGCCAGGAAGTCAGCGGAAGTATGCACTCCCCATTTGGATCATTTGAGCAAGCGACAGCTGAGGACAACGCAGCCTTATCTGCCACCTGGCTCCTCAAAGCTTGCCCAAATCCAAGCTGCCCGGAACAAGGTCCTGTGTTAAACCGTTCAACTCTGCGTGAGGGTGGAAGGAACAACGAAACACCTCGCTCGGGCTGGGCTGGTTCCCGCGCCTCCCCCTCGCGCTGGGCACGCCAGGCCTCGACTTGGCATCGGCGGCCTGAGCGCACGCGTCTGGTGCTGCGCGGCGGCGCCGCCGCTCCGCCGCGCAGCAGGACCAAACAAGGAGCCAGAAGGCACTGTGGCGTAGCCGTGCGCTGCGGTGCCCGTGGCTGCTGTTCGTGTGCAGAGGCGCTGCGGTTTTCACGGGCGTCGTGATGCACGGAAGCACCGTGGTGTGCGGAGGCGCTGTGGTGCACGCGGCTGTTGTGGTGTGCGCAGAGTTGGCTTTGTGGTGCGCGCGGGCGTCGCGGTGCAGCACAAGGATTTCAGAGAAGGGGGGCAGGACGACGAGGAGGAGACGGAGGGGGAACAGGGGGGAAGGGGGATGGAACCAGATAGAAAATACACTCGCAGCTTGTTGGCCCCACTGTGGGGTGGGCACTGCGGGCTGTCGTTATCGTTCTTTGTTGCCTCTGGCCGCATGCAGTTCGCTGGCGCAGAGAAGGGCGGCCCCAGCGCGGAGGTTCAAGGTTGCGACGCGCCCAGGGGGGGCTTTCGGGCTCCAGGGTTCTCAGAAATGAACCCGCGGTTCGGAATCATGGTTCAATATTGGGCCGATAGCTTCCAGTTGCGCACATCGGTCAAGATTGAACGATGCACGCGGTGTCGGAAACCAATTTCCAAGGCGTCACGACACGGACCTAATTACCTTACAGCCGACGCCCCACGTCATCCAACCTTTCCCAACCTCCCGCCTCCATTTATTTTTCTCGGCGGGCCTTGGGGACATCAGAAAACGACTCTGGCTGATGAATTCGTCCAGCTGGCGCCCGAGGGCCCGTTTCATTCGGGACCTGACTGGTCCATAGTAAATGGCTCCTCGCGCCTTGGTCGCGCCTTTGGTTCGTAGCAGGCTCCCGGCGCAGTGTGGCGTTCACAAGCGCAACGTGGTGCTCGCAAGCTATGAAGGATCCCGCTGGTGCGTTTGGCAATGTGGTGTGCGCAGGCGTTGTGGTGCACGGAGGATCTGTGGTGTGCACAGGCGCTGTGGTACACATGGTTGCTGTGGTGTCATTTTGGCTCAAGCGATCGCATGGCCGCCGCCGTCCGGTGTGGCTTCTTCGGGGGCCGGGGCTGGATGGCGGGGCCTAGAGGGGCCATCTGCGCCGCGGATGCCGCCCTCCTCGTGGAGGCGGCAGTCCGCGCGGCGCAGCTCGCTGGAGCGCCGCGGCGCACCGTGGGCGCCGTCGCACGGGCGGCCGTGGCCGCGGCAGCATCGGCTGTCGCGCGCCCGCGGCCCGCGCGCGGTGGCGACGCTGGTGCTGGCGGCTCGGAGGCGGACAACGGCGGCGGTGAGCCCAAGACGGGCGCGGCGGCGGAGGCGAAGCGCGTGCGGCGCCGCCGACGCCGCGAGCGCCTCGCGGCTCGGCGCGCGCTGGAACGTGGTCGTGATGGTGGCGGGTCCGCTGGCGGTGGCGCTGGGGTTCCCTGGAAGGCGCAGGAGGCGGCTGCGGCTGCCGAGGCGCCTGGAGGGGCGGCTGGCGGCGAGGCGGACCCCGCCCGTGGCGGCGACGACTGCGACAACGACATGGAGGACGACTCGTTCGCCGACTCTCTCGTAGTCGCGCCTCGGGTGACGGCTGGCGCCGCTCCTGGTGGCGCGGGCGGCGGGGAGGCGGCTGGCGGACGGTGTGCCCGTGGCGGAGTCGGCGGCTTTCGGGGCCTCCAGCTCGTGCAGCTCGGCCCAGCGCCTCGGGAGGGCCGCTGGGCTACTGCGGAGCCTCGGAGGCGCGCGCCGCGGAAGCCACGGCGGCTCCAGGGGGCCCCGCAGGCGGCGGCGGCGGCGGCGGGGGCAGAGGGCGCGGGCTCTGGCCCGCCTGCTGCGGACGCTGCGCCGACGGCCGCGGCGGCGGCGGCCCCTGGCGCGCCTGGGGCTGACGGGGCGGCCGCCTGGGAGGACGTGTTCGCCGCGGCGGACGGCGTCATCCAGCGGCACGCCGAGTACCAGCCTCAGCACAGCGACGAGCTGCGGCGTATGCTGGAGTCCGTCGGCTGGCGCCCCGCCTGTAGCTACTGAGGGAGTGGCTTCGGTGGTCCGCCCTCTTTTGAGGGCGGCACGGCCTGGAGGGTGCCCCGCGTGGGTGCCCCAGGTGACGCCGCAGACCTCCGTGCTCTGGCGGTCAGGGAGTGGCTTCGGTGGCCTGCCCCTGTTTGGGGGCGGCGCGGCCTGGCGGGTGCCTCGTGCGGGTGCCCCAGGTGACGCCGCATACCTGTCGGGGGGGGCTGACTCTTGGAGCCTCCCCCCCAAAAAATGGTTGCTGTGGTGTACACAGGGGCTGTGGTGTACACTAGCATTCTGGTGCACGCAGGCACCGTGGCGTACGCGGGCGCTGTTGCGCACGCGGCTGCTGCAGTGTACATAGGCACTGCGGTTGACACAGGCGACGTGGTGCTGTGGTGCGCGCGGCTGCTGCTGCGGTGTACGGAGGTACTGTGGTGTGCGCAGGCGGCGCTGTATTGCGCACAGGCAGTGGGCAGTGTCGTGTACACAAGGACTGGCACGCAGGCTTTGAGCGTGGTCGTGTACACAGGGGTTGTGGTGCACACAGGCGATTGATGTGCTTGTGGCTCGGACTCACCCTGGCGGGTGCACGCTGCGGCCGCCGTTACTATTGCCCCCCCCGCCCCCGCCCGGTGTTACACGTATTACCCCCCATGGATTCAAGAACGATCCCATTCATGCCCTGCTGGCCTGCACGATTGTTTTTTGGACACCGGGACGGAGGGGGGGCTGAGGCTCGGGCGGGTGGTCACGGGGGATGGAGTTCATGGGGGGTGGAAGAAAAGGGCTTGGAAGTAAAGGAGCCCCTTTCGGCCTCTTCAGGGCCCTTCTCTGCGCACTTTATTTAGGTCACCCTCGAAATTACAACCCGCCCGAGAGGCGCAGGAGGAGGACGGCCTGGCCCAGTCGGCCGGCTGGCCAGCCGCCCGCCCGAGGCCACCTTCCTGGCCCGCGAGGGCGGCGCCGGCGGCCGAGCCGCCCCGTGCGGCGCTGGGCTGGCCCCGCGCGGGCACGCCGAGCGGCTCCGCGCGCGGGGGCGCGGGCAGCGGTCGGCGGGCGCAGGGGGCTCGGCGGTGACTGGGCTCCCGAGCGCCGGCCCGTCGTCCACGCCGCTGTGCTTCAGCATCGTGCGACGCATCGATCCTGGCGGAGCTGATAAGCGTCGTGGCCTGGCGGGGATGGGGGCCCCATCTCCGCCGGGCCATGGGGGCTATCGGCCCCGCCAGCCCAGCCTCCAAGGTGGGGGCAGGTCCTCGCGAGGCCCAGGGTGGACAGCACGCATCCCCACCGGATCGGCCAAAGGATGCACAGTCCTCCTCCCCGTTCTCCTCCGGGCCTCGGGGGCGGGCACCGCGCCTGCAGGTCGGGCGGACGGCAGCGGGGGGGCAATGAACGTGAGGGGATCGAAGATTGCAGGGAAGTGGTCTCCAGGGGGCCCCAAATAGCGCCGAAACTGCTCCCGCAGGCCCAGAAGGTGAACGACAAGTGCCCGCTTCCTCACCCCAAGTTTCTTGCCCCCCCATAGCGCGCGCCCGAGGAGGGCAGAGCCCGCCTGGTGCGCTAGGCTCTGAGGCGAGGTGGCGCCCTCTCGGCCGCTCTTGTCTGGTCGCTCTGCGCGGCAGAGGCAATCCGCGCGCGCGCTCGAGTATCCGGGGGCGCTCGGCATACTAACTGCCCGGCTGCAAGAGGAAGAAGAGGCGTCGGGGCTCAGGGGCGGAGGCCACGCAAGCGGGGGTCAGGCAGAGTTCCGCATCTTGCAGGATCCTGCAGAACCAGGGGTGTAGTGACCCGGGCTCGCGTGCAGGATCGTGCGGAATGTTGAAGGATTCTGCGAAGCTTGACATACCCAGGTTTGCATTGACCCGGGCCAGTAGAAGCCCGCAGGGGGGGGGGGACGCGGGCCTCTGTCCAGCAACACATGGCGATAAGAGCCGGCGCTGCAATCCATCAGAGCTCACTCTGCGACGCTGAGGCACGCCAGACGCGATGAGCCACAGAGAGGAGCACTGCGCCCCAAATGCCCAGGTCTCGTACGCTGAGCGTGCGCTGTGCTTTGGTCGTTCTCACCCGTCGCCCGCCTTGTTCTCCTTGTCCGTCGTCCGCCCGCGGGCCGATGCCGGGCATTCACGCACGGTGCCCCGCTGTTGGGCCGTCGGCTGGCTCCCGGCTCCCACGCGCCAGTTGCTGCTGCTGCTGCTGCTGTAGCTGCTTCTCCCCTCCTTCCACTCCTGCCTCCTCCCACCCCCCCCGCCTCCCTCCATCCTCCCCCTTCATCCCATGCCTTGCAGACTTGGAAGCGAGCCGCGGGCAGCCTCGTAAGGCGACTGCAGAACGCCCCTGGGGAACACAGCCGACCAACGCAACTTATAGATTTTCGCGTTCCTTGCGACACATCTTCGAGGCGCCAATATAGGATTTTGTGGACGAGGTTCAAGTATCATTAAGCGTAGCGTGATGTATCACTTCGCTGATGTGGCGCCACAGCCGTGCGCTGCAGCACGCGCTATTGTACAACATCGCTGTCGCATGCCGTAGATTGGACAGGGTGCAAATCTTGGGGTCGTTTTGGCGCTGTCGTGTGCTGTCTTGGCTCTTCGGCCCGCTTGGCTGTGGCCTGGGTGGACTTGGCCCCCTCTCGAAGGTCAGACGAGATGTTCGGTCGCTATTTGGGCCTTCTTGTTTATCGGCGACGCATGGCCAAACAGGATTGTATTGGGGCCCTCCTGAGCCGTTTTGGGGGGGGGGCCTCTTGGGGTTGTTATCGGCCGCCTTGCAACCGTTTGGGGCCCTCGCTGGGCTCCTCGGGCCTCCCTCCCACGCCCCCAGGCGCATTGGTTTGAGCCATCCTGAGTCGACGGGCTGAGGAATTCCACATAAAAACACAGAGTTGCCGCAACATTCTTATTGATCGTGGCCTTCCTGGACGCCCCCCCCCGGTCTTCTCCCCAGTGTTTCGGTAGCTTCTCGGGCCTCCCTCTGGCGATTCCTGGGGTCTTTTTGGGGCCAGTCGGGGTGCCTCTTGAGGCAGTTGTGGGCCCTCTTGGCGGCTCTGGTAGTTTTCCTTGGCAATATTGGGCAGTGTGGGTATAAGGTTCCATCATCATCGTCGTCGTCACCATCATAGAGTTGGGTTTGGGCCCTCTTGGAGCCCTTTGGGGGCCCTTTTGGAGCCCTCTTGGAACCCTCTTGGGGCCCCCTTCGAGCCCTCTGGGGGCTCCCAGAAAGTTTCGAGGGACATCCGGGGGGGTGGAGGGGGAGGTGGAGGGGGGGTGGAGGGGGGGGAGGGGGAGGTGGAGGGGGTGGTGGAGGGGGGTGGTGGAGGGGTGGGTGGAAGGGAGTGGAGGGGTGGGTGGGGGGGTTGGGACGAACCCCAGGGGAGGGGCGAAAAGGGCGGGGGGGAGGAGGGGGGAGGGAGCAGGGGGCCACAGGGCCAAATGGAGCAGGGGAGCGGCGGGCCACGACGAGGCAGGGCGGGAAAATCCTGCCCCCCTGGTAGTTGCGCAGGGGGGGAGAGCGTGCCCCTTTGCTTCCTTCCATTCTTCCTTCCGGCCTTGCCTCCCTCCCTCTCTCCTCCTCGCCCCCCCCTTCTGTCGATAGTCCGCCCTGCCCCCCCTACTCCTGCCCCCCTCCCTCCACGACCCTTCGACACGCCCGACCTGTGTACCTGGGCGGTGTTCCCTACGGCAGTCTTGGTGGGCCAACGTACTGCGTCCGGGTAAACAGGTACAGCCTGTACCTGTAGAAGCAATTCGGCTTCTACAGGTACTGGCTGTACCTGTAGAAGCAGTTTGGGGTAAACAGGTAGAGGCTGTACCTGTAGAAGCCATTGTCCCTTCAGGTACTCCCTCGGGGTAAACAGGTACAGGCTGCACCTGTTTACCCCGCTCGTTGGTGAGTGTTTTTTCGAAGGGAAGGGGGGTAAACAGGTGCAGGTCGTACCTATAGAAGCAGTTTGGCTTCTACAGGTACTGGCTGTACCTGTAGAAGCAATTTGGGGTAAACAGGTTCTTGCTCTACCTGTAGATTTGGCTTGCCTCCCCCCCCCGTGTAGTGGTCGACCTGTAGAGTTTGACGGGTGTACCTGGCCCCCCCGGTGGTCCATGTGGGTATGGCGAGCACGGGTTGGGGGGGCAGTCCAGGAGCCTCTGTGGGGTACCGAGCTGACCTTTGGCGCCCCCGTGCCCTGCTGCGCACGATTTGGGGGGGGGGTCCGAACACCAAAATACGGGGATTGTTGAGTCCTCCTGCGGGCCTCTGGGGGCCGCCCGAAGTGCGCCTCGACTGGATATCCTTTGCAGGCAATTCAAGTCGATCGAAACACCGACGAGGAGGGTGGAGGAGGAGGAGGAGGAGGAGGAGGAGGAGGGAGGGGGGGGGGAGGAGGAGGAGGAGGAGGAGAGAGGAGGAGGCGGAGGAAAAAAATGGAGGTCCCCTGGAAGTTACTAGAGGAGATTTAGTAAGAGAGGGAATGGGTTAGGAGGGAGGGGCAGGAGAAGTGCGAAGAGGAGGGCGGGGGAGGGGAGAGCGTAGATCTCCCGTCAGCTTCGTCTCGGGTATTCTCGGGAGCACTAGTAGAAGGAAATCTTCGAGGGGGGACAAGATGTGCTCGCGGGCGTCTCAGAATTCTGATATTTTGAGGGGGGGAAGCGCACGGAAGAGGCGCAAAGCGTATGCAATGCTACCGGTTCTCACATGATGACAACAACGATGAACTTGGGCAACAAAATCTCTAGTGCCTGGGGTTTCCGTTGGAGAGGTGGCGGGTTCCCCCCACGATTGCGGTACGTGTTTTCGGCCATGGTTAATTTGTGAGCCCCCCCATCGATAACCTCGCCCTCCGAAGAAAGGCCGTTGTACGCAATGCTCCGAGCTCCGTCGGGGTACTCCTGTGGTCGATGGGTCAGGCGCCTGGCCGGGCGCTCGGGCCTGGGTCGCAGTCGTGGCCGATACGTGCTCGCCGCCCTTATCCCCTTCTTCCCCAGCCGCCTCGCCCTCCTTACATTCCCTTACATCCTCTCCCACTTCCTCCTCCACTTCCTTTTCTTTTTCTCCCTTCCACACGTTCCGTTGCCATTTGGGCTCAGCCCTTTACGGTTTATGGCCGATGCCCGGATTCATCGGGCTACGTTGCAAAACAATATTGCACGGCCGGCGCAAGTCGACGCATGAGTCGTGCTCGGTCAAGCCGTCACCGATAGACCGTGCGACACGCCCTGTTCGGACGGTCGGTTTGGGGCGCCAAGCGGGCAGAAATTGCGTTTGTATGGCCGCAACCTGAGGGCGCCCTGGTTGCATGCGGCGGAGAAGTATCACAGCGTCGCCGAACGTGCAAGCGCAACACGGCGCGATTCCAGACGGCGCGGTGCCCGAGACGCGCAGCTCGTTCGGACGTCCACGCGAACCAGCAAAGAAGGTAAGTCACGCTGCCCAGCTTTCTTGCCCGCCCCACTTCAGGGGCTTCTGCAGTCGTTGCCCCCTGTTCGCTTCCCATTACAGACCCCTCCCACGGTCGGACCGGGGTAATTACAACATCGAGGTCGTCTCGGGGAGGGTCCCACAAAGGTCGCCGTGCTTGTTGGATGTTCTTGTGCATCCTGGGGAAGTGTACCTTCGAATGGTCCCAGGTGTGCTTTCAGACGCCGTCGTTCAGTTAATATTTGAGCTTGCAAGCAATCTACGCTTCTGCAATACCTCGCGGGCCGAATGCCATGGCAGGGTCACGCCAAGCCTGATCAAAGCTAAGAAGCCATTCTCTTCCCCCCCTTCGTCGGGGGAAGTTCTCGCCCCCCCCCGCCCCCTCGTCGTTTTTTTGGCCCTCCTCCCGTTCTCCCCCATTCTCCCTCTGCCTCGGGCCCCCCCTTCCCCCCTTCTCCCCCCGTCTTCCCCCCCCTTCCCCCTCCCCTTTCCTTGTCGTCGCCATCCTCGCATCCGTCGCCGCCGCCTCGGGCCCCAGGGATGGGGCCTCCCCGCGGCCGCCAGCCCCCCCCCTGTGTTCTCCGCTCCGGCACAGCGCTCCGCCGCGGCCGCCCCGCCGAAGCCGCTCCGCCGCCCCCGCCGCCCCGCAGCGAGCAGCGGGGAACGCCCCCCGCGGGGGCCCCGCTGGGGCCGCTCCCCTGGGCAGCGGCGCCCGCGATGTAGGCGGGCGAGGAGGGGGAGGTCGTCGGGGGGAGGCTGGGGGCGGAGGCGGGGCTGGGGGGAAGGGGGTGCTGGGGAGTGGAAGGAGGGGGCTGGGGGTGGGGGGGGGGGGCGATGCTCGAGGAAGAGGAGGAGGGGTTGGGGGCTGGGTGGGGGGGGGGTGTGGGCAGAAGCTGGAGCAGGAGGAGGGAGGGAGGGAGAGAGGGAGGGAGCAGGGGAACGGAAGGGCGGAGGAGAGTTTTTCCCGTGTGCTTCGGGAGTCGCCGCCGCAACTGACCCACGCTCGGATCATTCACGCTCAGACTCATTGGCCCTCCTCTTCTCCCTCCGTTATTCAGACAGGCGCACCAGCATCCAGGCCATTCCTTTTCAGACCCACCCACACTCATCCATGCACAGGACCCATAGACTGACCCGCGCACCGGTTGATTTTTTCTCCGACCATTTTGCCCCCAACTACTCAGATGTGGATTAGCTCTCACTCAGGCACGCTCATGTCCAGAGCCATTCCACTCACATTCTGCTCAGACTGCTCGTGATCATATTCACGGATGCTTCTCAGACTGTTTATAATCCGACCCGCTCAGGCTCAGACTCAACTAAAACTCGTACTGAGACACAGCCACTCGCACCTCCCAGAGGTACGTCGACCAGGCGTGTATCACGAGTCCGGTCGCGACCAGCTCGTACACAGCCTCGCTCATATTTCTTTGCATCGCAATGTAGCAGGCGTTGAGCCGCCAGGAAGTATACCACGGGCCCTTTCGCGTCCAGGTTGGTGTCGATTCAGAGTCGCATGCGCCCCAGGGGAGAGCCGCACTGGGGCATATCACGGGCCTGTTCGCGCCCTGATTTGCCGATTCAGGAGGTAGACGGAGTCAGAGACTGTGACCATCGCACCGTGGCAGGCATGGCACTTGGGGCGACCCAAGTGGCGAGCCGCCATTGATTGTATACGGGGCCAGGAGCCAGTTCTCGCGCAGACTGGTGGAACCTCTTAAGCAGAGTTGCCGTTTCCAGAGGGGTCGACGATTCTTCTTCAGAGCCGCATGACCATCGCACCGTAGTAGGCATGGCACTT